GCCACCTGCTCTTCTGGAGCATTGGGCTCGGCTGTGGTTGGCAGTCTTTGGTTCAGCTCTGCTGGGCTGGGCTCAGTCTCGCTGCCACTCCATTCCTGGACTACACCACTTTTTTTTTTTGGAGCTGTGTCCCGGCTACATTCACCGAGGAATGGGAAGGGATGGGTGGTGGAGGGACAAAGTCTTCAGCACTGGTCACTGAGAGTCTACAGCGCTACCGCAATTTCTCCGAGGAAGAGAGGGAACAAAATGGTGCCACTTTGGGGTGCGCTCACCTTTTCTCCCCCTAAAACCACCCCCCCAGTGTGATATGGATGGTACAGAATAGCCCACCTGGCTCTGAGCTCTGTCCCCTCCCTGCAGCCAGGACATCTTTATTTGAGTTTTTTGGGCATGAATTCTGGCAGTTCAAGAAAACCCTGTAAAAGTCTCAAATCAAATAAAATGGTAATATACATGGATTCTGGAGTCTAATGAGTCTTTACGTTTTAGTTTGAGATCATGACCATATGGTAGCTGAGGAAAGGCAGAGCATTTGGATCTCTTATGGGACAGGCCATGGAACGGTCAGTCAGCCGATCAGGTGGGCTCTGTTTCAGAGCTTATAGCAGTGCATATCAATACAACTTTTATTTATGGATAGAAGTTTAGTTTGATACTTGCCACAGTGTCTTCTTACTCCACCACCATGTAGGACTGGTTTGAGATTGTGAATTGAGTACGAATGAAGCTTTGATTTGCTTTTCACTTGGAAGTACCTCTGCTAAATTAAAGAATGGGGAAAAAAACCCAGCCTCTGGATGGTTGCTCTCACTAGAGTCCACCAGGTACTGATAACTGAAGGTTTTGGGGATTTCTCTCAAGCATATCATTCCAGTTTCTTTCTGGAGTTAAGAAGAAAAAAAGAACCAGAAACGCAGCAGATTTCCGTAGTACAGAATGTTAAACTGTTTTAAAGTGTTCCTTGTGTTAAATATCGTTGCAAACAACTATCAAAATGCCAGTTGTCAGTATCTTCCTTGTACCAAGTAATTGTTCTACATGCCTGGAATTTTGAAAGTGGAAGCTTGGTACACTTTTGAGACTCTGAAGTCCAACTTTATCTGGTTTGTTGTTGCATTCATTAGAGGCATGCTAAGAATACCCTTTTCATTCCTCCAAAATGCTGGTTGAAGGCTCATTCCATAAATGAAGGGTTGTCAGTTGTAGAAATAAGATTCTTGATACCAGTCAGTAAAATGCAGTTGTGTGCTGCTTCAGGAACTCCCTAGCCTGTGGCATGATCTTATTATGGGTTACTTGTTAATTTCCAGTTTAAAGGTTCCGTTTTACTTGCTCTGGGTTAAATAAAAGCACAACCATAAAGTTACAAACTTGCTAATAGAATATTTAAATGTGCAGTGCTTACTGGGAAAGAAACAATTTGGATTTGTGGTTCTCAGTGATACAGTTTGTATTTAAGGATGTTAAAATGCCAAAAACTAGATAATTTTAATAAAGTTGGGCTTCCCAAATGCCTGCTCTAGCAATCTGGCATCTGTATTTACTTGAGCTGATGATAAATGTAGGGGAGGATTAGATTTGCCCCACCCCACCTCTTCTGGTTCAGCTGTGCCAGGTTTAATCTTATTGGCAAATGAAGAGGAACTGACAACCAAAAGTGACTGTCTCCTGTTCCTTCAGTTTTGTATTTGTAGCTTTACCAGTCATGGCCAAAGCACCTTTCTTACAAATAGGTGAATTTGTAAGGATACAAACTGTGTTAGAGGCTGACACCCCAGGGACTAGAGCTTTTGGTGTTTGACTGCAGCTGCCAGCTCTTGGAAACACTTGCACCACACCATGGCTGAGACAGCCGTACTGTTCGGGTCAGGTAAACACAATGTAAATTTGACTGGCCTGTACATTTTGGAGTTCACTTATCTGAGATTTTGCAGTAGTAGCTTTTTGTCTTTCTAATTTCTAGATTAGAAAATCTAATTTCTGCCTGGTTGAGCAGTTTTAGACTTACTTGTGGTTTTCTGTCAAATACCCTAACTAAAATGGAGCAGATGATTGGACTAACAGGGCTTCATATGCTTTAAAGGTTGCTTATTTAGAAGATAGTAATATTATTCTTTCTAATATTGACATGGCCAGAGAAATGGATACCTCATTTCATATGATCACGTTGTGTCTGAGGCCCAAGAAACTAAATTTCACCAAAACTACTTTGGATACTTTGAAATCTTTATTAATAGCCACAGTCCAGGTTTTTTTGCCTGACTATAACTTAGTTCCCAAACTATCCCTCCCTGTTTTCAGCTTTTAATGTCACAAATTGGTTTTAATGGTAAATAGGGGCTTTTATTTGGGAGTATAAGAAAATAATAACATGCTTATTTAAACTTCTGGTATATGAATTAGATGTGTACAGAGGAGAGGAAGTCATATATTTGCAGATAAAGTCTTCAGAAAAAGTTCAAAAGACAGCTTGTCTGTATTGAGGTTAATATGAGAGCCTGCAAGCTTTAGCAGGTGGAAGAAGAAAGGACAGCAGAAAACAGAACTGAGGAGTCTTAAGTCATAACTAAATATCTAAAGTTTGGCTTCTGAAGCACCAAGTGTAGTTCTACCATGGTCTCTTTGAAGTGAAATAGAGCAGGAAGGAAGATTTAAAAAATCAGTAAATTAGGGAGAGTAGTAATGATGCAAATAAAACACAGGCGGTATAAGTAGAGAGGAATTAGGAAGGCTGTTTTCTAAGTGATAGTATTAAATGCATTACCTGAGATAGGGAGTGAAGTGTAAGATGTTGGATAGGAGAAGTGCTGTGGGGTAGGCACCGATTTCACAAGTGACAGGTCTATCTGACTAAATCAGCCAAAATGTTTAAATTTCAGTACTTGGGGAAGGCATCCTGTTTTATTTCTTCCTTTCAAAGAAAAGAACTGGGAAAACCTGTCCAGAGAGAAAGTAGAATTTTGCACTGCTACAAAGCTGTCTGGTCTGTTGTCTAACGAGAGAACCGAGAAAGGACAAATTCCAAGATAGTCCAACAATCTTATTAGGAAATAACTTGTCTATTTAAGAAAATTAATCTTCACTTCTGCATGATAAAAAGCTGAGATATTGTTTCAAATAGCATCTTGTAAATGGTACGTATATCATGGGTTTATGTTCAGTTGCTTAGAATATGTGTTTATACAGCAAGGTATAAACAGTGTTCAGTAAAGTGCTTCTTAGCCAGAATGCAAATATTAAAAATGTATCACAGTATTAATGAGTCACAAGAAAAAGTAGCACGTCTGGAATATTGGAATGGGAGGTATCATCTAAAACAACTGCATGCACTGAAGAGAAACAAGCTGTTTCTGTAGCAAGAGCATGGGAAGCATGGGACCAAGAGAGTGGGATTTGGCCTTGTTTTTCTACTGAGCTGCTATGTTCAAGTAATTTTTCACTTTGCCTCAGTTTCCCCAGCTGTACCAAAAAAACCCAACAACCTACCTCACAGGGGTGTTGTGAGGCCAAAGCTGTTTGTCAAGGGCTGGGGCTGATGGAAGTTTCTACAGAGGACTCTAACTCTTTATTAAAAGATCTTTATATTAGCTTTCATTATAGTATTTTAATACTTCTTTGGCAAAGGCTTATTTCTACAGAATGTAATATACATCCTATTTAAGTATAATGTAATTAGACTTATTTTAGTATGTATGGGTAAGGGGAAAGTTCAGGCTGAGTACTCTATCTGGTATTTCATCTCTTCAGTTATCTGTGCAACCCAAGTGGCATATTAATATGAGGCTCTTTGTTTTTATGTGGAACATATTAAAGTCAATATTGCTATATTTTGTAAACTCCATGACTGAAATAAAATCCTGCTCACAGTTGATAGCCATCTCTTATAATGTGGCTGTTTTAAAGTTTGTTCAAACCACGTGAAACCGGAGATGTTCACTCCTAAGTGGTATTTTGTCATAGAAGTGTAGTTTTCTTCCCCTTTCCATGTCCTGCTCTTTATTCTTTCACATATTTAAGTTGTAGTGGCATGCAGGTACAGTGGAAGTAGAGGAGAGAGAGTAAACTTCAAAACTTGTAAAATCTGGTACTAAGGCAGACAGTGGTGGAAGAAGATGAAGGGAATGAACCAAAGGAAAATAGTTGCCCATGGAAAGATTTCTGTGAAACAGATAAAGAAATGATCAGAAAATAGAGCTGAGAGGGGTAAGCAGAGGGACAGGTAAGAGAGAAAGGAATGTAGATAAAGAAGAGGCGATTACCATATTTACTATTATCTCCTGTTTTATCAGTTAACTGCAGCCGAAGGAACATGAAGAAGTAACTTATGAATATGCCCTTGTCTGCTGTTGCTGTCGATTTCAAGGTTCATTGCTCAGCTTTTACAGTGGGCCCTCAAATAGAAGCAGAGAACACAATGGTGGCCTGCATGCAGACAAATTAGAGCTCTGGTGGGTCCTGGACAGAGATGAGGCCCAGCATCTCTCTTCTCCTACTGATATTTTTATCATTGCAGCATCTCTAAGGCAGTTTTTATTGTGCATCAGCTGTGACAATTCTCTGTCAGAAATGATAACTGTTAAATTTCAACAAACAATAGTTGCTTCAGAGGAAATGTGTAACTAGCTGAATGATAAGCACTGAAGAATAACATGGGGGCTTTTTTGAGTAATTATGGTGGTAATGAGTGATATTCAGATCAACATATTGGCAGGTGGCTTAAAATTACTTTGAGTTGATATCTCGTTATACAGAGGGAAGGAGAATTACTTTTTAAGATGTTTATTATCTATTCCCCTCTTAAATAAACTACCTTAGTCTCGCTGTCTTCCCAGCTACAAAGAGCTGATTCTACTATTCTCTCACCCTTTTCCTCCCTGTGTTTTTCTAATATGCCACTTTTTTTTTTTAATGCTGATGAAAGAGCAGATATTCATTGAGGACCTCTAAGAGAAATAGATGCTGTAATATTTTTCCATATTGTTCTGTCTTTAATACAGCCTAACATCTTACTCGCTTTCTTGACTGCAACTTCACACTGAGCAGATGTCTTCATCAAGCTGTCCATGGTGATGCCTAGATCGTCCCCCTGAAAGATCACAACTAACTCAGAATCCACCAGAGCATGTATGAGTTGTGTAAAACCTTTCCAGTATTCATTGCCTTGGATTAATGTTCTGTTGACATTCACTTGCCCCTTAATTGCCAAGTTTACAGAGTTAGTTAGAGTATCCTGGCAATCACCATCAACCTAATAACTTCTATGGGGATTGGCTTTTGCCATCTGATGTACTGAAATCTTCAGTTTTGTGTACATAATTCACTCTTCTCGCCAGTGATTAGCATGGCGAGCTCTTACTAATTTTTACTCAATCACCTGACCTTTTCTGTTCCTTTTCCTGTCTCCTATCTTGTGTATTGCTAGCTCAGTTACAGCAATGAAGTCATTGAGTTGTAACAATTTGCTTTATTTCAATTAACTTGCCTACAGAAAACCGTTAGTTGAGACGTTGTCATAAGCTTCCTTTTTTAAATTAAAACAAATCACTTATTCTGTATCTCTTTCAGAATATGTACAACCATAGCAAAATGATTCAGGTCATAAAACCAGGCTGATACAAGAGAAAAATGTATTAAGAGAGAGGTAAAACATACATGAATCTGGTCTCCCAGAGCTTAACTTCATGGGTTTCAATGGAGTTACTTGGTCACGAAGTTGGTTTCATTAAACCTTGATTTAAGAACGTCACTTGAAGTCTAGGTTGAACAGCTATCAAGTGCAAGTGAACAAGGCGTGTAGCAAACTTGTTTTTAATTTCTGGGTTATTCTCCTCTCTGTGGCAGATGAAGCAGATGTATTACTTGGGCTCTGGCCAGCAACCAGCTGGGCTCAGCCATGCTTAGTCTAATATACCTGCTGTAGTATTCAACTGGACATCAAAACTAAATTACAGTATTTGAGATGAAGCAACACTGGAGGGCAGGCTTAGTCTTTGTGGTTTGTTTCATCTCTTCATTCTCACCTTGTGCTTTAGAGAGCGTGCAGCTGTAAGTAGTGTTCAGCCTCCAAGCACTGACTGCATTTACCAGTCATGTTACATTTATAGATACAAAGGAGGTGTTGTCAGGGCAAGCTCAAGCCTGTTTAGATGCAGAGCCTGCCAGTGTCTCAATATCAGAAAACCATATCCTAGAGAACAGCTGCTTTCCAGTACTGGTTGAGAAGAATGTACCTTGGATTTTGCATCCAAGTAGCTGTGTCCGTAGGTGTTCTATTACAGGAGGTGGTAGTATTCTGTCAAAAACCAGTTGTGGCTGCTGGGGGTTTATTAAGGTGTTGAGGGTTGGGATTTTTTTTTTTTTTTTTTGGTTTTTGAGGAAGTGCAGGGGGAAAATAGAGCTGAGGAATTTGACAGTTGTTCATACCCTCTCCCACACCTCTAAGAGACTCATCTCTGCTGCTACACTCACCAAAGCCGTGTCTTGCCACTGTAATTCCGTATTATGTTAATTACTAACCACCCAGTAACTTTCAGGACTGACAAGTTCTTTGACCACGCACTGTGTCTTAAATCTGGGAATGAGGTAAAAGGCAGACTGGCACAACAGTTTTCTAGGTAATTGGCTCTGCTCATTTTTTTTTCCTGCAACTCAAAACCCAGCAAAAATCTGATTTGACCTCTCTTCACCCTAGGGTATTCCCTCCTTCTGTTCATCTACGTTATTACCATGCCAGGGATTTCTTAGTCAGGTGCCTGAATTATTCACCACTTACTTAGAAAGCAGCAGGCAAGAACTCCTGAGTCTCTATCATGCTGCATTTCTTCTGTCAGGGTTGTAGTATCACAAACATGCAAAATTGCCTAGGAAGTAAATGCAATCTCCTTTAAAAATTGAAACCTAGAGCCTCAGAGGCTACGTGGGAGCCCAATTCCCACTGAATACAGCAAAATGAAGGCAGTAGCGCTGCTCACAGTACAGCACAGCTCAGCTGTGGGAAGGAGTAGGGTTGCATGACTTGTAACGTGCTAGCTTAAACAGAACTGTCTTACCTGGACAGCAGGGTCTAGCCTAAAGCATTTTAATTTTTTTTTTTTTTTTTAAGAAGAGAGGACTGAGGGAAGAATAGTAATAGGACATCTCTGTAAGTAGGAAAAAAAAAAAAAACAACGAACTGAATTTGCTTTCAGCAATGTACCAGAATGTCTCACCACCAGACTTCACATGAAGAAAAGAAGATAAAGCCATTTGAGTGATTATTGTAGTGCAAAAGAATGATACTGCCTGGATGGGAAAATGGTTTGGCTGGGAGCCCATGGAGCACAGCAGAAACTGTTTCAGCAGAGTACAATACGATCTATTTCTGAGAAACCCTGTGTGGACCCCCACAGTTAACACAGGAACCTAATGGTGCCTGTATATTTATATAATTAAGTTTATAGTCATAAATTAAGTTCAAAACCTGAACTATATATATATATATATATTTTTGTCAGTAGATTTTTTTTACCCTGATTTACCTATCATGGCTTCTGCATATGACAACTCCTAACTGTGCAGTGCACACACCTGTTGTTGTCCTTTTGTCCCATGTTAGAGTAATGGTATCAAACTCTGTAAAGCACTTTCGTGATGTTTCCTGTGAAGAAAGCTGAAGAAAATAAATTTATCTTAACAGCACCAACTGAATTTATACCTCCCAAGTTTGTCTTGCTTTTGTTGCATTTGTCTCTGTGTGACATGCAGACAGCAGCGTGCTGGATTCCAGGCTCAAGGCAGAAGAGGGGCTGGCTCTGGCTGGAACAGCTGTCTTCTGCCTTTGTTCCCCCAGCACTCCCTCTCTGTCTTCCTGCATCCCCCCCTAAGTTTAAACCAGTGTCCACCAGGGCAGTCCACACTGGTAAACAGGTAATGCTCAGATCCCACATTACTGGTTCCACTGGGGGTTGGTATGTGGCTGATTTTAGCTGCTCCCCTTCTGCCCTGCCCCCAGGATTCACAGCAGCTGCAGGAATTGTGTTTCTCCAAGACTTCTTTAAAGCTTAGCTAAGTGGGTCAGGGAGTGATTTTTTTTATCTGTAAAGTGAGAGTAGCAGCACCACCCTTACACAGCAGCTTCTGGGGACTGGGAAGAAGAAGTCACAGAAACCTTAGGTCTTGCCTGGTAATATTCACACCTATTTAAAATGGCTGAAATGCAAAGCAGCATTTCAGAGGTAGAACAGAGTGAAATACATGAAGTACAGTTAATTCAAAGTTAATTTAGAGTTAATTCAAAATGTGATATAAGGCATTAATAGCAGCATTATTTTCAGTCCATTACTGGACTTGGAACAACAAATCAGAGATGCTTGACATCCTCAAATAACAAAAAGCATCAAGCTGTTATGAGCAAAAAAACCAAATCAGGTGATAAAACTGAAGTCACTGCAACTCAACATGGCAATCTTGCCACAGCCAAATCCTCACTGACTGGGGCACAGATTTCACTTTTTAAAAAGAATTAAATCCCTCACATTCATGTGCAATCCTTCGTGACAATTCCTTCAGGTCATCCTGACAGTGGGCCGCAGAGCTCGCCGACAAAACATCCGCTGCACTGAAGCAGGAAGCAAAAGCAGGAAGTACAGCCTTGCACACAAAGACAAGCTGCCTTCCTATTCCCTCTCACCTGGAGACCCACAGCTCAGGTCCCTTGTCCCTTGCCCCAGCAGAAAAGGGTTGGTTCTCCCCAGCCTAGAATGATTTTCCAGGTTAAAGCGCAGGACTTAGATGCTCGTGGCTCAGTCTTGGATCTTCAACAGATACTGATGCAAAGACTTTCCAGAAAACGGTATTCAGCAGCTAGAAAATGAAAGTAGAGTACAACCCCTGCCTTCAAAACAGGAAAGAGGCGAATTAAATAGACTTCATCTGTTACTTATATTTTCCGAGACAACTCCACTGCTCCTGTGCATATGGATGCTGTGCTTTTCTGCTCAAACACACTGCAGCAATCCCAGCTGCTTAAATACAGCTCTTCAGATTCCATGAGCACGGACTAACTCAGTGCACTCACGTACATTAAGTTCAGTAAACAGAGACCCAGACCCCACAGTTACTGAAAGATCAAATACTTTGTCAAATATTGTAGTTGTCTGACTAAGAACATTTCCAGCTGCTGGAAATGGAAGTCTTTGGCTCTGGTTTCTGCCACAGACTCAAACAGGGAGGAGCATGGTCAGACAAACTTCACCTCTTGGATAACAAGAGTTGGCTCTATGTTTGTTGAGCAGATTCATTAGCACTCAGGACGGTAGCACCTCAACAGCACCTCTGATCCATTGAAATAATTTATTACACCCTCTATGAGTACAAAAATTTACAAGCTCTTTTTTTTTCTCTGGCTTCCCCTTCCCCTCCAACAGAAAATACCAAAAGAGGAAAAATTAACATATTAATGTAAAATCTAAGTCCATTACTGTATGTGAAATACAAGAAAATTCTTAGCAATTTGTATTTTCCCCACAATGCACAGATGAAAGATGTCATAAGCATCTTACAAAGTATTTCTTAACTATTATTATACAATGGTGTCCCCAAACAAAATCATTAGTGGGATAGTTTGGACATTTAGGAGACAAAGAATTTTTTGGATGAATTCTTGCCACATATTTAGATGCTACTGGTAACCAAAGCAATCCTTCCTATGAGTATTACTGTAAAGTTATTTTAATCTCAGGACAAATTAGAAGCAAAACTCAAGGCTTTTAATTTTTTGGAGGAGAATAAAAAATATAAATATGAATTTAAAAATGTACAAATTAAGAACAGAGAATTTGCTCAGTGTATTCTGGATCGCTTGACTCTGCTCATTTCTCCCGTTGCTTTTCTTTTCTGGGATAATCTGGTTCCAAGAGCTGTGTTATTCTGACGGTAAGACTCAGCTTCTGGCAGGCAGTAAGAATCCACAGGGGGAGGTGGGTCCTTCAACAGAGGAAGGAAAAATGAGTGGGTTAGTTCAAGAAGCTTCCAAGAAGAAAGAAACAGCTCATTAGTTGCCTAAAACTGAAAATAACGGACATTGCACACCTAACATTTAGAATATGTCTTGTGAGCAGTTCCATACCCTGCAACAGATCCCACTGCCAGCACCAGAACATGTTACAGCAGTTAAATTTGAGGCCACAGGTCAAAGCACCTCAGTATAGGCACTCAGTGGCCACAGTTCCTGGCCAAGGAGGGACGTGACTGGATTCAGGGGCCTGTGGGGTCGTGGAGAGCACCCTGAGGCACACACACCTGGATGAGATAGTCAGCGATGTATTCCGGCTTCACACAGTTCACTCCATGGGCCGCTGCCTCTGCTACATTGACCCTGGCGTCATCTGGCTTCAGCTTACTGAAGTCAGCAAAGAGATGAGTCGCTTCTTTAAAGAGAGACACAGAATGACCAGAGAACACCTACAGACAAAACACGACAGGCAAAAGCGAGTTTAGTTTTGTGTTACTTCCCCAAGACAAATGCAGTTCATGACCTTTAATTTCACTCATCAAATTAACCTGAAATCAGTGGGAAATAAAATACCATTTACAGCTGCATTCTGTACCATCACGTACCTTCCCAGAAGAGTGATCCCATCAGAGCTGGGCACAGAAATCCTATCCTCAATTCCCACCAGCACTACTGACTCGTGTGACCTCAGACAAGCTGCTCTGCCTGACCACTTGCAAAGTGAAGATGACATATCTTTTTCCTCCCACCCTTTGACTGTCTCAGCTACCTCATGTAAGCAATTTAGTTCATGAAGGCCTTTTACTCACGTGAAAAATGCCCAGCACACTTTAACAGAAAAAAACCCAAACCAAACCAAAAAACAGTTAAAGAAACACACATATATTTCATTATTATTTTCAATCAACTACATACTTCTGCTCCTCCTGACTGAAGAAGGCGCCTGAATCCTGCTTCCTTGGTTTGATCAACATTCAGGATCACTTTCCAGCCACTGAAAGCTCCCTGGAGAAAAGACAATTTAGTCAAAAGTTTGCTGGTACTGAAAAAGTACAAAGACTTAATGGATGTATAATTTGCCCCTTTTGAGAATATCCATCAGATAAAGATTTGCAATTACCTAGTTCTGTCTTTAAGTGAAAATGCCAGAAAAAAAATTCACAGAACATACAGCTGTTGGGCCGCAGTCAGGCAGCTTGCCACCAAACCCTCTCACAGCCTGCACAGCAAGATGAGCAAACCAATGTATGAAAAGACCCTTGGCAATGAGTATGTTTTCCAGAACACGAGACACTCATTTATAGAAACTTATCTAAAAAAAAAAAAATTACTTTGAAACATTTCCCCCATTCCCCCACCACGCACTTAGTTACAGTAACAGCACCGAGGGCCAAGTGGTTGCCTCCTACAAGCACTCACAGTGGTTTCCAAGTAGGCAAAGAGGTAGGCAAGATTTGCTACAAGCATTCATTTAAAAAAGATTACTGTAAAACCCACACAAGTCAAGATTTATCCTGATGTAACTGAAACACCACCTTCCTATGAATACTCAGCTGCAATGCCTGATTTGAGAGAAGAGTTAATTTGGGGAGTTCAAGTCCCACTTCCAAAAATCTCACTGAAAGACTGTGGAACTTGCATCACAAAAACCACAGAAGGTGATTTAGGAAAGATTCCAGTACCAGTCATGGTTTCCTCACAAAGCTCAGTGAGGTTGGCTCCTTAGTCAGAGCTCTGAAGCATAAACATCATCTTCCTGGCTGAGAGATGTTTACATACATAAGTAGCCACATTCCAGCTTTGCAAAACATGAAAAACGGTTCGAAGGAGATGAGGACTTTTAATATACCAGCATAGAAAGTTTAAAGAAAACCACCCAAAATTACTTACTGGAATATATTCAGGCAAGACATTTTGTTCTTGATAACAAGACAGGTTACCTTCCCCTGCCAGTTAAGTTTCCAAGTTTCTTGTTGACAATCCCTGTCCTGTCCACCCACATTGTACCACTTATATTACAGGAATATCTATATACCTCAACAATACCCATTTCTTGCCTCCCTTTATGAATTTTTTTCCTCCACCTCATGGCTGCCAGTGCTAGTTTCTTCTGGTTTACATTGATTGCAGGCAAAACATTAAGTATGGAATTACTTCCCCACTCATAATCTTCTTCCTGGAACAACCATTAACTCGAATTACAAAGGAGTCCTGCCAACTTTACCAGCAGAAAAACAGATTTAAAAACCCCACACCAAATAGAATCCCTTCAAAAAAAAACCCCAGAACAAAACCATCTCACTCTTCTTTTGTATATGGATTTTATTTGACCAAAACAGCTCTAGGTAAAATGAGAGATACGGCTCTTAATTGCACATACGTATCTAAATCAACTCACGTTTTCTGTGACATCAAATCAGGTACACAACCAGATTCCCACTGCAGTTATCCAAATGGAATTCAACAGCAGGGCAAAGCAACTCACTACACTGCACACCATGATTTTTTATTTCTCTAGTGTCTTCTAAAACAATGAAATTTGGTTTTGCTGCATTAAGATATGAACAGTCTACAGGCATTATTTTAAAGTTCACCTGGTCAATGTAAAAGAACTGCTTGACCCAACAAAAATAACTGGGAGGTGGAGCCTGAAGAACTGGCGTTCAAAAATATTTGTGCACATGGTCATAGAGTCAGATTGTTTAAAAC